TAATTTCCTTTTGTACTTGGAATTATTCGGGCTTATAATTCATTCTCAAATACATTGGATCGCTTAAGCGATATCCCACGTTGCTTAAGCGACCATGGCTAATTTCCTTTATACTTGATAATCATTCTAAATGATGGATCGCTTAAATAATATGGGTTGTCGCTTAAGCGATCCGGTGTACATAAGCCCTGATCGCTTAAGCGATAAAGACAAATTTCCTTTTGTACTTGGAATAATTCATTCTCAACTACAGGATCGCTTAAGTGATTCCATATCTCGCTTAAGCGATCTAGTATGCATAAGTCGTGATCGCTTAAGCGATAACACGAGTCACTTAAGCGATCAAGGCAAATTTCCTTTTGTACTTGTAAAATTCATTCTCAACTACAGGATCACTTAAGCGATTTCATATCTCACTTAAGCGATCCCGTATGAATAAGTCGTGATCGCTTAAGAGATAACCCACGTCGCTTAAGCGATCAAGGCAAATTTCCTTTTGTACTTGAAAATTCATTCTCAAGTTCAGGATCGCTTAAGCGATGTCTTCTCTCGCTTAAGTGATCCAGTATACATAAGCCTTGATCACTTAAGCGGCATCCCTCGCGCTTAAGCGATCATGGCTAATTTCCTTTATACTTAATAATCATTCTAAATTAAGGATCGCTTAAGCGATGTGGGCTCTCGCTTAAGCAATCCAATATACACAAGTCGTGATCGCTTAAGCGATAACATATACGTCGCTTAAGCGATAACATACGCCGCTTAAGCGACCAAGGAAAATTTCCTTTTGTACTTTGAATAATTCATTCTCAAATACAGGCTCGCTTAAGCGATCTAGTATACATAAGTCGTGATCGCTTAAGAGATATCCTGCAACGCTTAAGAGATCAAGGCTAATTTCCTTTATACTATACAATAATCATTCTCAAATTCAAGGGTAGAGATTTGGGTAGAAGAGAACTAGATAACTATGCAAGCTTAGTGAACATATCTTCTTCTTCTTTCTTCGAAACATAAAGATGCTAAGAGTTTGAGCAAGAAAATGGCTTCAGAGTTGAGATATGGACGAAAAAGAAGACGGTGAAATTTTTAGAGCATTGATAAATATTACACTCTTTTGAGATTCTTCTCAATCTGATTTTAAAAAGAGTTGTTATTTTAAGGAATAAACGAAGTTTGAATGACTAGTTAAACGATTGTTTGTGTAGAGGGTTTTGCAGAGTTACAGCTCCGTACATAAAACTAAATGATCTACGGTTATTCTATTACTATTGTTAGTCCTTTTTTTATTTAATATTTATTATTATTAATAATTTTTTTCATTTCAATAGAATGTGAAAATAACACTTCGGTCTTTGCCAGTCAGCACCATACATAAAACTGAATGATCTATTGTTATTCTATTATTTTGGTTAGTTCTTGGCAAGAAAATAATATATAAATAAATATAATATTTATATAAAATTAAACTCTGCAACCATTTGCTCTGCACTCTGTAGACCAAGAGAGTGCCTGACTAATGCAGTAACCTTGGGCTTGGTGTTGCTTTTTACAGCTCACTCGTGACTAATTCAGTAAATTGATTGATTTGACACGACAATTATTTTGATAATATTTAAAATGGATGAAAGTTAAAAATAATTAATTTTATTTAATATGATATAAAGGATGATTTATTCAAGCTTCTCAAAACACAAATGTAATGTCATCACACATTTACAGGATATAGCTGTTGTGCTGAAAAATTTATTGTGATGGCAAGAGCCATATGTTTTAAAAAATTTATTTAAAACATACTTCACAACTATATCACTACCTCAACAACTCAACCCACTTCTTCTAATAATTTCATCAATCAACTCATCAAAACTATCAATCAACTCATCAAAACTAACTTCTGTACTCACTGCAATTGGTTTAACTTGTTTGCTCTTCCCAATCCACTTCCAACAACTTTCTTCCTCTACCCACTCACCAAAATATCCAACACCCAAAACAATTTATCCCATGCCTAATAATAGCCAAGTACCTATAATGCAAGAAAAAAAAATTATTAACTGATATATTAAGGGTTGATAGATTTTAAAAAGCATCTGCAAAGTCGCTTAAGCAATGTGGTGTATCGCTTAAGCGATCTGCTATATCGCTTACTAGATCGCTTAAGCAATCCAGTATATCACTTAAGCGATCTGGTATAAATAAGTCTGATCGCTTAAGCGATCTGGTATAAATAAGTCCGATCGCTTAAGCGATCGTATGCCATATACCTAATCACTTAAGCGATTTGCTGCCATATGTCAGACTTAAAGAAGATCGCTTAAGCGATCAGATGCCATATACCTAATCGCTTAAGTGATCTTCGATCTGCTGCATTATACGACATACCAGATCGCTTAAATGATCCATCAGATCCAGAACACATTTTCAGTCATCTCCACCTACAATCAGTACTACCATCCCCAGCTACCCATAATGCAAGAAAATATTCAACAAATTTCACTACTTTCAACTTGTATTACATCAAACACAACCCAACAACTAAATCAAAATCATAACTCAAACCCAATTCATCATTAAATCTTTGTAAATCGAAATATAAAATGGAAAGGGGAGATACACATACTTGGACGAAATATCAGGAGGAGGAGGAGGCGGATCTGTGGCGGAGAAGATGTTGATGGCGAAGGAAGAAGATAGGTTTAATGGCGGGAAGAAGAAGATGTACAGGAATGAGGAAAAAGAAGATGCAGAGGAAGAAGAAGATGTAGACGAAGCTTAGAATAAATAACAACTAGTGGAGGGATGCGTTAATGGCGGGAAGAAGAAGAAGAAGATGTTATGTTTGGGTTTATTTGCAATAATTTCAGGTTTTTGGGGACATATTATAATTTTGAATAGATTAGACAATACTTTATTAATCTTAATTAAGCCATGATTAGTGTTTAATTGTTATTAGTTTGTCTTAATAAAAAATAAGGCCATTTAGTAAAGACTAAAAAAACTACATGGCCTTTTAATCCTTTGCTCCAGTGGATTGGTGGAGTTATAAACTGATTTCCATAAGGTTAATTTAGGGGTTAATGAACCCCCCCAAGTTATGATATAAATAACAAAGTTTCCCCTGAGGATTCTAAAATAATAATACTTCTCCTAAGGTTAATGAATAGTTAGTGAGTTATTAATATTTATTATGTTGTGAATTAGCAAATATTACCAAATTATTTTACTACCGTTTATTTTAATAATTAAAACTTAATATAATGAGAATTTATATTATTTTCGAAACCTTTGGGAATTTTTGTTTGTTTATCATATCTCACAAGGATTAATGTCATTAATCCGTTAATTTAATTTAAATGTATATGTATTTAAATGTTAAGGGTTTTTATGTTTCATTTCCATATTAAAAACAGTTTTTTCTTAAATTTTTTGTATATCATAAATAAATATAAATCTTAATAGGGTTAATTTATTTGCCCAAGCACAACAAAAGATAATTAGTTTAATCGCCCTAACTATTTTTTGAAAATATTAAAAATCTTAAATGATTTTGTACCATATGTTGTGTTTTAAAACTCGGCCTGGCCCAATCAATATAACCGGTTGAACCGGGACCCAAGGTTTTCAATTTTGACTGTTCATGGCAAACCCTAAAGATTAGGACAACAATCGGCGAACAACTGGTGACTGAGATGTTAGAGCTTTTGAAGATGAAGGACCTATGAATCGAAAGGTGGTGACGGACATGATTTTTGGTGAGTGAAACGATTGAAAATCACAAAAATCGATCGTTGGAAACAACAGGCTGTTGTCAGTGATTGACGAGGCAAACGAGGGTGGGGTGATATGGGTTTTGGTCAAGAGGCTAAGGGAAGAGTTTTCGTAGTGATGGGGAGTGTTGTTGACACAGGAAATAGGCCCTATTTGGCCTGGGTTGTTGATGCTAGCGGTGTAATTTGGCGTTTACTTGTAGGAACTCATGGTGATTTTTGGGGATGTTTTTGCTAGATTTCAAACCTTTTTACATGGTGACGTCACAGTTCAACCGATCAACCCGGGACCCGACCACTTTGTCGGGTTTCACCCCGTGTTGGGCTTTAAAACAGTGATCATATGAGATTTAGTAATATTTTTAAAAATATTATTGATAATTTTGTAATTATTTAATACTTTTCAAAAATCATTTAAGCGAATGAAATTAACCCATCTTAATATCATAAAAATTGTGTCTAAAGTGATCATTTTCAGATTTTTCTTCTGCACCGAAAGCAAATGACCTAAACTAAACTAATCGATGCGGATCCAAAATATTGGTGTCTATGTTGGTTATTGCTCATTCAAATCTAGTGGCCAAGTTATTTTGGACTCATTAAGATGCTATTAGAAAGAATATAGGATTGAATTGAGTAATTTTTATTTGCACAATTATCGATTTTATAAATGATTTTTCAGTATAATTAGACCATATAATGTCTTTACTGCTCCTAAAACCATACTCAATGGAAGCATTTTCATATTTGAATCTAAGAAAATTTAATTTTAAATTAGCTAATTCAATTGGAATGAACTTAAGAGCAATGTTACAACCACAATCTCTTTTCACAAATTTTCTCTCATAATTTCGGCATGATAGTTTGCAATTGGTCAACTGTAATTTATCACCATTACGAACTAACTAATTACGAGCTGACATGTCAGGGTTGTAAGAGAAGATTTGTTAAAAAAAGTTATAAGTGTAGCATTTTCCATTAACTTAATTATAAGTAATTGAATTGAACTTACATACTTGACCATCAACTCACTTTTTATTAAAAGAGTAATGTTATATTTACACCACCCATTTACATTATGACCATTTTACTAATAATTATTTTATTATAATATTAAAAATTTAAAATAATTAAAAACTGATGTGGATGTATCACATCATAGTGTAATAAAAATGGTGTAATGGACGGTATAAATGTAACATCACTATATTTAAAAAATTAAAATTTCAATGGCTTCACCACGGCTACAGTAACCAAAGTAAAGAGAGCTTATAAACTGCTTCAAAACAGTAGCTCCCACTACCCATCTCCGTTGTCCATCCGTTTAGGCAACAATGTCAACTCCTTCCAAATCTAAGACGAGGCAGGCCACACCGTCGTCGTCGTCGGCCAACCAAAACGGCGGTGGCCGCCTGTTCACCGATTCAGACGAGGTTCGTCTTCTCAAAACCCTTGAAAAACTCACCAAATCAACCCCACCATCCCCTCAAATCACCGTCGATCCCGAAACATTCAACCGCATCAGCTCGGCACACAACTCAAAATTCACCCAGTCACAGATCACATACAAGCTCCGTACATTGCGAACCAAGTACCACAAACAAGCACGAACCAAGTCTCTTATCAAAACCCCACATGATCAGAAGCTCTTCAAGATTGCCCGCAAAATATGGGGCAAGCAAATCAAGCGAAAAAGCAAGAGACTTGGAGACCTGCAGTCCAGTGATAAAGAAGAAAAGGAAGAAGAAGAAAATGCGGCGTTGGCTGAAGCTGAAAGAAATGATGAACGAGAACAGGAACGTGAAGAAGTGGTGAATTTGGAGGATTACCCAGCGCTAGTGGGTGAATTTTCCAAGTACTTGCCGTTGAGTTTGGTGTGGAGAGAGGCGTTGAGGTCTTTGGGGAGTGGGAAATTGAGGGAAATGGATGAGAAGTGGAAATCGATTGGGATTGAAGAAGCCAAGATTGTGATTAAGAAAGCTGAGTTGGTTAAGGAGCAGACTGGTTTGATTATGGAGGTTCTTGGAGATTCTGCAAATGGGAATTGATTAATGTATTTAATTATCATCTTGGGTTGTGATATTTGTACTGACATTGTTAGGGTTTAAGTTATTGTTAAGAGTTTAAGTTTGAATTTGTGTAATTCTTCCTTTTTTCAGCCATGGTGACTCATGGATAATGGAAGTTCTAGTGTAGTTTGATGCAACTATTCCTGTGAGAATTAGGATAATGACCTTTTCATGTTTAAATGTTATATTGTTTGTTTGTGAAAAGGAAATTAATTGGAGTTAAAATTAGTCATAATTTTTAAATTTCATATTTTCATGTATAATTTTTCATTAAAAAGATTAAATATCATGACAAATGCTAAGACCTATTGTGTATATGAAATTAGATGAAATCTTAATAAATAAATATATGTTTATTATCTTTTTTTTTCTTTTTTCTTTTTTAACAACTGAGGTTTAACAATCACGAGGACTCAGACTCAGGATGCCATATTAGATTTTTATCTTGCTTATTTACTCAAAAGAACTCGAATTTGAAAATAAACGGCTTTCATTTGCTTCCTTACCACAAAATCACCCATTGGTGGTTTATACGGTATATTATCTTGATTGCTATTTTACCACATTTCTTTTGATGTAAATAAGATCAAGTTGATCAAACAAGCATTTCTGTTGACATTTTCAGTCGGATAGCACGACTTGCATACATTTCTTCCTACAGATATATGAATTTACTGAATTCAAAAACTTAATTGCACTCTCTTATTTCATCACAGGATAAAAAAGACCCCTGATTAATCCATCTATCAATAGTTTAATACACAACTTTCTCTTATTTAATCAACAATTACTTGAAAAATTTCAGGCAAGTGTTTCAACAACCAAATACAATTTCTTGTTTCCATTTTGGGCAACAGAAAAGTAAAACCTCACCACAAAACACAAGATCTAACATTAGCAGTTAATAATAAGTAAAAGGTTCTTCTAAGTTCTAACCATATATTCAAGATTGAAGTAAAGAAATAAAACCTACCAAATTCTTATATTACTTCCTTCAAGGAATGATTAAATTAGATCCTGTCTCTTGAAAGCAAATGATTGGCCATCAAACTAACATCACATACACACAAATTCAAACCTGTGATCTGAACTGGCAGGATAATCAGAGCCGCATAAAAGCACTGATAGAATAAAAAGCTTTTAATCATTCAAATTCCACCAGTGGTTTTTCATCCACAAGCAGTACACGAGAAGTACTCCATCACATATCTAAACCAGTAGCATCAGTGACATGAAAGATGTCGACACCACAGCCATGCACCAAATAAAGGCTAAGCATAGAATTGGTAGGGCGAACTAAAATACAATACAGTACCAGAACTCCCAAAACATTTAAACCCTAAATATTTCCTATTCTCCATTTTGACATTTAAAAAGTAAAATCACTTAGCAAGCATGCTTTGCTGATTCTCTTGCTGCTGCTGATAGTTCAAAGGCCTCCGGAAGAGCATGATGTGTGGTTCAGGGCGATGAATGGCATAGTGAACCCACCCACGGCTCTGCTGAACTCCAATTGCACGCCATTCAGTCTACAAAAGCAAATCATTCAAAAATAAGTAAAATTTTCAGAACCAATAAACACAAAAATACCCATAATATCATCAATCAATTTTAATCACTGAATTAGAGAGACAAGAAGCAAAAAGCAAAAGCAAAATTTCAAAGAAAACCTCATAACGTCAAAATTTAATGCATGATTCCTATACTTGGAGACCCAAGAACACATGATTGAAGTTCCAAATAATCTACAACAACATTCTATATAAGAGAAGGGTAGAGAGAGAAGGAAAAGTGGATTCATCTTAATCATCCTTTTGATGGGTAGGATAAATCAATAAAAAAAAAAAAGGAGAGAGAGATAAGTGCCCCTTTTCACAAGTTAATATCTCTTCCCAAAGCCAAACAAAACCGGTAGCAACAGAACCAGGATTTTGATTCAGTGCAGGCAAATTAAAATAAAAAATAAAAAATGGGGTAATCAAAGACTTAACTACTTTCATAGAAGAAAGAAGGGCTTTTGTTACAAAAAGAAAATAGAAGAGGATTAACTGAATTTTCCAACGTCAGTGGGGGCATGAGCCCACACTCAGCTCTTAGTGGCTCCATCCCTGAAAAACCAGTATACATTAATTTGATCATCATAACCTTATGCGTCAAAATTTTGAAGGAAAGTGACCCATGTCTCGGATTTACTTACTAGTGTTTCACCCCAGGATAAAATGAGCCTCTGGATTGATTTCTCTATTACTATTTGTTACCTTTCCTGGAACCCCAATTCCCCCTATAATTTAAACTTCTGAATTGATTGCCTACCGAGAGGTAGGTACGGTTATCTACATTTCTAAATTTCATTTACAACAAGGATATGACAATAAATCTCTCCCTTCCATAAGCCTCGATCTTGCATACCTCTCTACAAATTGAATACGATGTTTCATTCTTGTCTCATCCATCACTCCTGACATTTCCTTGCAACAGAAGAGGGAAAATGAACTTTCTCTATGCATTTTCCAGCCCTCTTTAAATAAAACAAAGTAAAGTATCCAAGAATGAAAAATCACCAAAACCCTTCTTTTAAATATCAAAGAAAACGGTCATCTTTCATCGCCAAATAAAAAGAAATCAAATCAAACTTAACACAAACCCTAGTATCATTTCCACTTCATTAACTGATTTTTTTCAAGTCAAACAATTAATAAACCAATATTCAAAAGTAATAACAAACAATGGCTACAAAGAACCCCAGATAGAGAAATACCTCAGAGAGGAGGCGATTCTTGGGGAGCAGTTTGGCCACATCAGGAGGAAGAACAACGTGTCTGTACATTCACCATAAACAAATTAAAAATTCCTCGAAAACCAGAAAAAAATAGAAATGAAAAATAAGAATCGAATGATACCTGTACTCGTAAGTGTCATCGAAGTATTTCTCTGAATACTGGATCTGACCCATGTCGAACTTTGGTCCTCGATAATTCCTGAAAGATTGGATCGGCTTCAAATGGAACAATTTTAATAAAAAGTTTTCAAAGTAAATCGGATTAGGTCTTGCTACGGTTGAAAGGAGCGTACCTTTATAATGGCTGAGCAGAGAGTGAGCAATGAGTGAAGAGCAAGTGGGTAAATATTGCTAAGAAAGAGGGAAGAGGCGTAATAAGAGACTTCTAAGAGGGACCAAAAAGTAAATGCACGTTTCTTAAGTTGAGTTAATAATTTATTTATTTCCAAATAAAAAAGGAATTTGAATTTCAAATTTTGAACCTCTCCCGCTTTTGAAAACGATGATTGGACGACAAATCAAGTTTCGGTCGAATAATCTACAACGGCATTCTTGCTTTTTTAAAGTTGAAAAATTCAACAACGGCTATAAGATTTTATTTATTTATTTTTCAAATTATTGATTTATTCTTGTGGAAATTAAAGAAATATCATCAATTTGCTCAATCAATGCTGATATCAATAAGAAGAGACAAAAGAGCTTCGCTTCTATTTAAACTCAATAGTTCAAAGGTAGATAGATGGATCAATACACAGATTTCAAAATTGGGAAAAAAACCCCTTTCAATGATTCAATCCAAATAAACTACCCCCAAATTTGATGTATCTTGACTCTGATATCTCTCTCATTCTTTCTTTTCTGTCAGCTAACCCAGATTATAATATTAAACTTTACCACTAATCCCTGTACATAGAAAGACAATGGACCCCTGTACATTTTCTAGGAAAAAGGATCTACAAAAATAACATGGCTTCTCCATCTTCACAGAAAATCCATTTCCAACTTTCAACCAACTGATTTGGCAACAATTCGGCACTTTGGGACTGCCTTCTCCAGCATTGATGTTCCTTGGAATATCATCATAGGATAGTCATTTCTGTACTTGTTTTGCTGCAAATGCAGACAGTAAGAATAACGACATAAAAATATTCATATAACTGAGAATTTAAGTGAAAATGCACACACACCTCATCTTGGCTCATCTCGTTGAAACCAAACTTATTAGTCCAAATGGCTTGCGCTTCACTGGCCGATGGAAGTACAAGAGTCTTCACGTTTAAGAAGCCAAGTAGCTTCTCAAAACAAGAGAAAAGGCACTGGAAATAACCCTGCAGAAACAGTTTTTAAATAGGTTAAGATATCGTTCACGACAAACAAATTAGGCAGAGAATCAAAAAATTGAGAGCCATGCAGCCTAATGTAATCACCTGGCCTTGACACTCTGTACTAGTTGCAACCAGAGGTAGCTCTGCCAGTTCCTGCCCAAAAATCCTGAAGATTCCAGCTGATACCACAACTTGGCTGCATAATAACCAATGTAATCAGAATAAATAAAATTCTATAGACTAACAGTAAAACTCATCAGAAGTGACACTAACTTTACTGTCAATATCGCACAATACATCCCATGGTAATCTTGTCCCTTATGACTCCTCCTGCAAAATAAATAAACTAGATGTAGTCATTCCTATGTATATCAGATGATAGCTATAGTTACTGGTAAGAATCAAGGTTAGCCAAGAGGTTAAAAAAAAAAAAAAAAAAAAAAAACAACTTATAGCTCACCCATAAACCATCGATGGGATAAGGTCAAGTTTAGATTGAGATTCAATGATCGGATCAAAACGATCCTATAGAAGAAAGAAGAACAAAATACATCCATTAGAATTTGATGCCAAAACTTCGCTCAAGGACAAAATAAAAACAACAAACTATCATGAATGCCTAGTTCTCAAATCATGCATGAAAAACTCGTTATGCTGTATTCAATACAGGAAAATGCCTGCAACATGACCCTATTTGTCAAAGACAATTTCATGTCATTTCGTCAGCAATTATCTACACACACAAAAATAAAATAAAAAAAATAAAAAATAAATAAAAATACTCACATGGAATATAGAAACTGCCTTGGAAAGCAACACTCTAGTACCATCAGAAGCATCCATTTTCTTCCCTCTAAGAACCCTCCATCTGACATCAACATCAGGCCCACAATCTGAAGTGTTATCAACGTTCTTCTTTTTTAAGACATTTATAGAAGTGTCTGGAAGCCTCTCCTCCCCACGATCAACCAACTTCTGCAGAGCAGAATTAATTCTTTTGCAATCTGCACAACATAGCCACTTTCCTTTTGGCAATTCCTGTTGAACAATGAGGGTAAGACTTGTACACAAAATGTTGAATTTTCAGCAAAGAAAACTGCATAGTAAAAAAGAAATATTCAGCACCTTAAGGTCTTCCATTCCATGATCCTTTAAACAGCCAACATGGTATTCTCTCTCACACTGGGCAAATTAACACATCATTGTGGAACAGAGTTAATTTGGAGAGCACTTAGAAACCAAACTTTGAAAGTGTGTGTGTCATTTGAACTTAACCCAAAAAAAAAAAAGTAATACCTGATCACAAAGTATAACAGTGCGATGACCAAACTTTGACTTGCAAAAATCACGTCCTCTACAAATGTAACAGATATATCCAAACGATAAGAGCGAGAGAAATACATACGGTAAGCAAGAGAGAGCCAAAACATACACTGAAGGATAGGGTAAAAGAATAAACACACACCCAAAAATGAATGAGGCAAAAAGTCATAGAAAAAAGGGCTCATAATTTGAAAATTCTCAATTTGCAGGAATATAGTAGAACTGACCTGCATAAAACACATCCCCCTAATTCAGTCTCCGGAGTTTCAACAATCCGAATACACCGATTAGTTATCTGTGCTATAGGATCAACACCTGGGACCCTTCCAGCAGCTTTAGCATTGGCATTACGCTCCACAAACTTTTCTTTTTGGAACATATTCAGGCAATATCTACAGTACCAAGCACCCTTCGGAATACCCAGTAAAGAGACACAGTCTGCAATTGGTCAATATAAGGATAAGCACCAAGCCATGAACTAAAGAAGATAATAGGATCAATGTTTCACCACAGTTATCCATATAACATGCATGTTAATCAAGTTAAAAAAGCCACAAAGCTGTGATACCCAAAAAAGGTTTTAAGGAAACCAGTGGTGCCTGTAGATCACACACACCACATTAATTTTACATTTGAATTACAGATGAGGAGATTAGCTTCGGGTGAAAGTAGGTATAAATCTGAATACAATTGTAACTGATAACAAAAGCTAAAATCCAACTATTTCAATGAAATTAAGAGAGAAAATGAACTTGGAATGAAAGAATAGATACTTTTATTTCTCAGGAAAGTAACAACAGTCAAAATACACAGCACTCCTACATCAAAATGTAAATGAAAATAGAAGCCACAGAGAACCAATCCACATAAGTCCAAACAAATTACAAGATTTGCACGTGAGTATACACATAGACCAGACTTGATTGATGGAGTATAAGGTTCAGGGTACTAAAAACAGATGATGAGTAGAAAAAGTTAAGAAAATAAGACCTTTTCCTCAATCAAATGGCACCTACGTATTTCATAAGATAAGTAATCCACTAACAAATTTCACATAAATCACAAAGCAAAACTGAAAGAATCCTTGAAGAATAATAGTTTACTTGGGAAGAGCATATCATTTACTGGAGTATATCAGCAATAAGTTTCTATTAGTTCAACAAGACAAATGAATCTCTGTCAAATCTACCTAGGATTTTTTGACTATTTTCAATGGCTATCGTCCTACTTTCCGCTGTCTCAGCAAATTTAGGAATCAACACATTAACAGCCAGTGTCCTTTCTCAGTCAATTTCTTTTACAATCTAACATCCTAAAAAAGAACTAGTGGTTACAAAAAATAAAACAAAAAGAAAAGCTACCTTCACCTTTCTCTACCTAGATTCACAATTAAGAAATACATAACAATAGTAAGCATCTACATAATGAAATGCATAGTACCATAACACGGTTTCTTGATAAACCAAAACATTGAAAAAGAGAACTTGAAGTTCACCTTTGTGGAAGGCCCTTGGACATGAATCGCAACATAATAAATTCCCTCCATCCATACAAATGCCACAAAGGTCATCATTCTCTTTAGTAGAGAACCTCCGTTCTTTGGATAGTTTTATAGAATATTCATGGAGAGAAACTCCATTGGATGTGTAGATGTGTTGAAAGCTGTCAGATCAATGGAGACCAAATCAAACAATCATGAAAGGACTGTGAAATATGCACAAAAACAAGCACCAAACATCTTTGCATTTAAATCATGCCATAAAAAATGTGAAAGAAATGTATTAAGTTTGCAGTCTTATAACTCATCTTTGCAAAATTTCAATGATATGTACATTTGAGATAAATACTCACGGTTTACGACGACTTGCCCAACCAGCATGTGCTTCAAACTGTGAGGGGCTAACCTGCTCATTAGATGTAAATAAAATCAACCCTACAACAGAATTCTTGGGAAAAGAATAGCTCCAGCAAAAGTAAAAATACCTCAGATTTGCAGCAAGAGCACAATATTCCAGCTCCCATTTTGTATCCAACAAGTAATTTCTACCAAAAACATAGAACAAGTCAGAAACAAAATAGCCCAAAATAGAATACATAAACATTTTCTAGCATAAATTCCTAGCAACCTGGCCACGAACAAAATATGCTAGCTCAGTTCCATCTAGCAAGCCACCTTCCTCAAAGACCAGTTTATGCATCCGCAGATCCCTTTCAAAAGAACATCATGAGATGGAGACAATTTAAAGTTCTGGTTACAATGAGTGGACAATAACAAAATACTCAACCTTGGACAGCAGATTAAACAAAGAACTAACGAAAAGAGAATATATTATGTGCACAAAAAGGACACTTACTTTCTAGTTACTCTTCCTTGACTTTTTGATGAACTGCTATTCTTCATCACACTGTAAGATAACTTTTGGGCTGAACTTGGTTCTGGAGATCTGACATAACAAAAGAAATATACTTATTTTCAGAGGGGGAAAAAATTATCGACAGAAGGGTAAGAGTTTTTATCTATTTTTAACTCAAAGAAGGAAGAGAAGCCTAATTTGAATGTGTATATGCATGCATTTGAGCCCAGTTAACATGCACATCTACATCTGAGACTGACAATTTAATATAAATTCTATATAGTAATGACATTTCAATGACTGGAAAGTGGGACACAATTGTGTATCTGGCGAAAGAAAAATGCCAACACAAAATTTGTGTTATCACCACAAACCTAATAACCCATCAATTGTTGGATCGTAACAACTTTTATAAAGTCCATTTTTGCAAGATGAGATGTATGCCACAAGGAACTTCAGGACATGTCTAACACTAAAGATATGATTTACTACAATATAAGCAAAATGTATGCATATCTGTTCATTTTTACCTATGTCTTTCTAATAATCATAAATAAACAAAACTCCCAAATACAGAGCTCATCATCACATTTCTAATGAATCATCAGCAAACTCTCTAGTTAAGTATAATGGCACAAATAAAAAAAACTAGGAAAATAAGCCTCTATTAACCCAGCTGTTGCAAAGACACTAATTTCAAATAGCACATAATAAAGCATACCCATCACTAGTCTCAGTCAAACCAGCAGAGACAGCTTCAGGCTCCTTCAAATCCATGCATGAATTACATAACAGCAGCATTTCCTCTGTACGAACTTCAGAGATAGAACCTGCAATTGATTAAATCACACACAGTTTCATGCCTGCAAAACATGCATGCCAAGAAAAATAATAAAGATATGTGAAAGTAACCTCTGCAGTTCAAACAAAAGCCAGACTTAATCCTAGAAGAACCAACAACCATACGGACAGTCTCCTCCAAGGTTTCCAATGGTGAGTCTTTGCAAACATTCATCACATCACGAAGTGTCTTGTCATTTTCCAGATAGATATACTCTGGTGGACGCTTATTTGTGCTACCAGCATGCATCTCAAACACATTAGGGGTAACAACCTAGGAGACAGGGAGAAGCCTCAATTCATTATCTTACACCTCAGTGTAACTTAAAATCACACATTAATAAAAGCAAATAATTCAAAATTGTCCCAAAAAAAAAAAACAAAAAACTCACTTCATTCCCATTACAATCACCACAGAAACACAATATCCCAGAGCCCTTAATCACTCCTTGCAGGCCCATAACACCGGGATCTCTTACCTAAAGTGTTAAAAAAAAAAACCATAATCAACATTTGAAACCAGAATATAACTCCTCACAAATTAAGGACCATAGTAAAAAAGAAATATTCAGCACCTTAAGGTCTTCCATTCCATGATCCTTTAAACAGCCAACATGGTATTCTCTCTCACACTGGGCAAATTAACACATCATTGTGGAACAGAGTTAATATGGAGAGCACTTAGAAACCAAACTTTGAAAGTGTGTGTGTCATTTGAACTTAACCCAAAAAAAAAAAAAGTAATACCTGATCACAAAGTATAACAGTGCGATGACCAAACTTTGACTTGCAAAAATCACGTCCTCTACAAATGTAACAGATATATCCAAACGATAAGAGCGAGAGAAATACATACGGTAAGCAAGAGAGAGCCAAAACATACACTGAAGGATAGGGTAAAAGAATAAACACACACCCAAAAATGAATGAGGCAAAAAGTCATAGAAAAAAGGGCTCATAATTTGAAAATTCTCAATTTGCAGGAATATAGTAGAACTGACCTGCATAAAACACATCCCCCTAATTCAGTCTCCGGAGTTTCAACAATCCGAATACACCGATTAGTTATCTGTGCTATAGGATCAACACCTGGGACCCTTCCAGCAGCTTTAGCATTGGCATTACGCTCCACAAACTTTTCTTTTTGGAACATATTCAGGCAATATCTACAGTACCAAGCACCCTTCGGAATACCCAGTAAAGAGACACAGTCTGCAATTGGTCAATATAAGGATAAGCACCAAGCCATGAACTAAAGAAGATAATAGGATCAATGTTTCACCACAGTTATCCATATAACATGCATGTTAATCAAGTTAAAAAAGCCACAAAGCTGTGATACCCAAAAAAGGTTTTAAGGAAACCAGTGGTGCCTGTAGATCACACACACCGCATTAATTTTACATTTGAATTACAGATGAGGAGATTAGCTTCGGGTGAAAGTAGGTATAAATCTGAATACAATTGTAACTGATAACAAAAGCTAAAATCCAACTATTTCAATGAAATTAAGAGAGAAAATGAACTTGGAATGAAAGAATAGATATTTTTATTTCTCAGGAAAGTAACAACAGTCAAAATACACAGCACTCCTACATCAAAATGTAAATGAAAATAGAAGCCACAGAGAACCAATCCACATAAGTCCAAACAAATTACAAGATTTGCATGTGAGTATACACATAGACCAGACTTGATTGATGGAGTATAAGGTTCAGGGTACTAAAAACAGATGATGAGTAGAAAAAGTTAAGAAAATAAGACCTTTTCCTCAATCAAATGGCACCTACGTATTTCATAAGATAAGTAATCCACTAACAAATTTCACATAAATCACAAAGCAAAACTGAAAGAATCCTTGAAGAATAATAGTTTACTTGGGAAGAGCATATAATTTACTGGAGTATATCAGCAATAAGTTTCTATTAGTTCAACAAGACAAATGAATCTCTGTCAAATCTACCTAGGATTTTTTGACTATTTTCAATGGCTATCGTCCTACTTTCCGCTGTCTCAGCAAATTTAGGAATCAACACATTAACAGCCAGTGTCCTTTCTCAATCAATTTCTTTTACAATCTAACATCCTAAAAAAGAACTAGTGGTTACAAAAAATAAAACAAAAAGAAAAGCTACCTTCACCTTTCTCTACCTAGATTCACAATTAAGAAATACATAACAATAGTAAGCATCTACATAATGAAATGCATAGTACCATAACATGGTTTCTTGATAAGCCAAAATATTGAAAAAAAGAACTTGAAGTTCACCTTTGTGGAAGGCCCTTGGACATGAATCGCAACATAATAAATTCCCTCCATCCATACAAATGCCACAAAGGTCATCATTCTCTTTAGTAGAGAACCTCCGTTCTTTGGATAGTTTTATAGAATATTCATGGAGAGAAACTCCATTGGATGTGTAGATGTGTTGAAAGCTGTCAGATCAACAGAGACCAAATCAAACAATCATGAAAGGACTGTGAAATATGCACAAAAACAAGCACCAAACATCTTTGCATTTAAATCATGCCATAAAAAATGTGAAAGAAAAGTATTAAGTTTGCAAGTCTTATAACTCATCTTTGCAAAATTTCAATGATATGTACATTTGAGATAAATACTCACGGTTTACGACGACTTGCCCAACCAGCATGTGCTTCAAACTGTGAGGGGCTAACCTGCTCATTAGATGTAAATAAAATCAACCCTACAACAGAATTCTTGGGAAAAGAATAGCTCCAGCAAAAGTAAAAATACCTCAGATTTGCAGCAAGAGCACAATATTCCAGCTCCCATTTTGTATCCAACAAGTAATTTCTACCAAAAACATAGAACAAGTCAGAAACAAAATAGCCCAAAATAGAATACATAAACATTTTCTAGCATAAATTCCTAGCAACCTGGCCACGAACAAAATATGCTAGCTCAGTTCCATCTAGCAAGCCACCTTCCTCAAAGACCAGTTTATGCATCCGCAGATCCCTTTCAAAAGAACATCATGAGATGGAGACAATTTAAAGTTCTGGTTACAATGAGTGGACAATAACAAAATACTCAACCTTGGACAGCAGATTAAACAAAGAACTAACGAAAAGAGAATATATTATGTGCACAAAAAGGACACTTACTTTCTAGTTACTCTTCCTTGACTTTTTGATGAACTGCTATTCTTCATCACACTGTAAGATAACTTTTGGGCTGAACTTGGTTCTGGAGATCTGACATAACAAAAGAAATATACTTATTTTCAGAGGGGGAAAAAATTATCGACAGAAGGGTAAGAGTTTTTATCTATTTTTAACTCAAAGAAGGAAGAGAAGCCTAATTTGAATGTGTATATGCATGCATTTGAGCCCAGTTAACATGCACATCTACATCTGAGACTGACAATTTAATATAAATTCTATATAGTAATGACATTTCAATGACTGGAAAGTGGGACACAATTGTGTATCTGGCGAAAGAAAAATGCCAACACAAAATTTGTGTTATCACCACAAACCTAATAACCCATCAATTGTTGGATCGTAACAACTTTTATAAAGTCCATTTTTGCAAGATGAGATGTATGCCACAAGGAACTTCAGGACATGTCTAACACTAAAGATATGATTTACTACAATATAAGCAAAATGTATGCATATCTGTTCATTTTTACCTATGTCTTTCTAATAATCATAAATAAACAAAACTCCCAAATACAGAGCTCATCATCACATTTCTAATGAATCATCAGCAAACTCTCTAGTTAAGTATAATGGCACAAATAAAAAAAACTAGGAAAATAAGCCTCTATTAACCCAGCTGTTGCAAAGACACTAATTTCAAATAGCACATAATAAAGCATACCCATCACTAGTCTCAGTCAAACCAGCAGAGACAGCTTCAGGCTCCTTCAAATCCATGCATGAATTACATAACAGCAGCATTTCCTCTGTACGAACTTCAGAGATAGAACCTGCAATTGATTAAATCACACACAGTTTCATGCCTGCAAAACATGCATGCCAAGAAAAATAATAAAGATATGTGAAAGTAACCTCTGCAGTTCAAACAAAAGCCAGACTTAATCCTAGAAGAACCAACAACCATACGGACAGTCTCCTCCAAGGTTTCCAATGGTGAGTCTTTGCAAACATTCATCACATCACGAAGTGTCTTGTCATTTTCCAGATAGATATACTCTGGTGGACGCTTATTTGTGCTACCAGCATGCATCTCAAACACATTAGGGGTAACAACCTAGGAGACAGGGAGAAGCCTCAATTCATTGTCTTACACCTTAGTGTAACTTAAAATCACACATTAATAAAAGCAAATAATTCAAAATTGTCCCAAAAAAAAAAACAAAAAACTCACTTCATTCCCATTACAATCACCACAGAAACACAATATCCCAGAGCCCTTAATCACTCCTTGCAGGCCCATAACACCGGGATCTCTTACCTAAAGTGTTAAAAAAAAAAACCATAATCAACATTTGAAACCAGAATATAACTCCTCACAAATTAAGGTTCATCAAATTAGTATGGCAGCCAAAAAATCATACCTTGGAGCCACGAATGTATCTTACAGGCATTCCTTCAAGTATACCTGACTCAAGAAAAGCTTTCAACTTGGTATAAAATTTTCTCGCGACCTTCTTTGACTTCACTGGGCTGTCTTGCTTCACTGGAGTAGTAAACAATGGACTAGCTGCTCTATGATCACTTTCTTCCTTCATACCACTCTCTTTTCCACCCCGTGTCTTCACTGACTGCACCTTCTGCTGTAAAAACGATCTCGTAAACCTTCTCAAAGGCCTCTCAAAAACCCCATTCGTTACCTTAACATCTTCATTACCACCAACCACAACAGGTTCTACCGCACCAGACCCTTCTTCACACAAACTACCAGATTTCTTTGAAGCTTCCTCGCCCAAATTACTCCATACTTTTTCCTTCAATTTCCCCTCAACCAATCCGTTCTCCGCTAATCCCCCATCAGTCTCGTTCTTTTTCTCCTCTATGACAGCATCTACTACATTTTCAGTCTCATTTTTTGTCTCCTCTTCAACACCAACAACTAAGTTTTCAGTCTCCTTTTTCTCCGCTTCAACACCAACTACTACGTTTTCAGTCTCTTTCTCTTTCTCTTTCTCTTCACCCGTTTTTTCATACTTATCTTCCTGTACATCCATTAACACTTTATCACATCCATTACTTTTCTCCTCCTCAACGCCAATTACCACCTTTTCAGCTTCATTCTTACCCTCTTCATGATGATTTTCACCTTTACCCTCTTCTTCATGTTGATTTTCGCCTTTGCCCTCTTTTACATGATTATTTTCGCCCTTGCCCTCTTCAACATTTACTAAAACCTCCTTTTCGTAAACAACAGCTTTTTTGCCATCATTCTTACATAATTCTTCCTTCTCTATCTCATCTTCACACATCAATTCCTCCTCACCACTGGGTTTAGGTATTACCCCACCAACATTACAAATACTCTCAACCTTGACTTCATCAACAAGATCAACCACGTCACTTTTCGCCTCTTCTTCGCTCATAACCTCTGTATCTTTATCAAGATCCTTCACAACATCAACACCCTTCGCCTCCTCTTTCCTTTTCCTCCTCGACACATAAGTCTTCAACTTCTTAAGCGGCGGCGAAACCAACTCATGGTCCGAATCCACATTATCATGTGCCTTCTTGGACCGGGTCCGCCCGAGTGACCCGCAGATCTCCGATTGAACCTTCAAAGCAAACTCGAACTCCCTCTTCAAACCCGTCCGGATCTTTGATAATACCACAAACTTATCCTCCGAATCCGCACCGTTCGCCATGGCTTGAAACCCGACACTTCAATCCTTTTCCCCTCTCTATTTTTCTTGATAAGTTTCAAATTTTGAACACAAACAAGAGACAAATCAAGAAAACATTTCTGGGTTATATGTATATGTATTGGGTGTTCATGGTATTGATTTGGACAGGCTTGAATTGAATAGTAGAATCTGCGTTGTTGAGTCTTTCTGTGGAGGGTGACTAAAAAGGAGAAAAATTTAGGGTTTCTTTTTAGGATTTGATTAAGAGAAAAGAGGAAAAAAATAATGGGGACAGAGAAGGGCAAGTCGGTTTGTTTCTTGGAAGGAGAAGAGAACAGAGATTGGGAGAGGGATAAACACTACTTTCAGTTTCATAGATGGACGAAACTACCCCTTTTCAATTACCATTGGGGTTGTTTCCGAGTATTTGTTTTGTTCTTGATAATGGTGGTCATCTACTTTTAGGTATTCTTATTTGTTTCTCTAATATTTATGGTATTTCCATTTATGGTTTTATTGTTCTAATTTTTTGCACTTTTACCCTTATTGTCGTAGGGGGAGCATGTGAGAAGATTGTAGGTAAGAGATGAAGATTGGTTTTGAAATTAGTTCTTTGTGTTTTAGATAGAATGTTTATAATAATAATAGTCGGGATAGGACTTATATGCAAATAAGTGAGAGAAATTTTGAAAATCGAGGAAGTGGCCCTTTTGAGTTATGATGTGGCTACCAAATGGCTTGTTTGAGTTGTTTGAACAAAAACGTGGCGCTAAAGCGGCCATGATACGCTTTACAAAGTAACGTATCATAATTATAATTTCTTTAATGGTAACTTATCTGTAGTGTTCTTTCTTATTTCAGCGTGACTGATAGTGACTCAATTTAATTATGATATTCCTCCAAATGGTCAACATGTATAACTTTGTAATCTATGCAAAGAAAACTAAAGTTGAATTTACAAATACAGAAGATGTTTTTAAAATTATGATGTGTTTTTAAACTTGCACATTAGAGTGCCAATGTGCCTTTGATATGGTCCTATCAAAATGTAGTTTCATAATTCTGATTTTCGTTAATAGTAACTTATTTGTAGTGCTATTTTGTAAGTTTAACGTGGCTAACAATGAGCCTATTTAATTATGATATTACTCCAAATGACTAGTATGCGTAAAGAAAAATAAAGTTGAAATTTGAAAATAGAGAAGATGCCTTTAAATTATGATGGGGTTGTAAACTTGCACATTTGAGTGCTAATGTGGCTTTGATATTGCCCTAGCAAACTTAAATGTTTCATAATTAAGATTTTCTTTAACGGTAACTTATATGTAGTGTTTTTTCATAACTTCAATGTGGCTAACAATAACTCTGTTTAATTATGATATTCCTCCTAATGATTAGCATATATAACTCTAACTTGCACATTTGAGTGCCAACGTAGCCTTGATATGGCCCTAGCAAACTGTAATGTTTCACCACTCGGATTTCTTTAATGGTACCCTATTTGTAGTGCCATTTCTTAACTTCAGATTGGCTGACAATAGCTTTATGTACTAATGATATTGCCACAAATAGCTAGCATTAACTCTGTAATATGTGAAAAGAAAATTAAAATTGAATTCTAAAAATCTTATTTTAAATTATGATATGGTTGTAAACTTGCATATTTGGTGCCAACGTAGCTTTGATGTGGCCCTAACAACTATAACGTTTCACAATTATGATTTTCTTTAATAATAACCTAATTGTATTTTGTATATATATGGTATTCCTCCAAATGGCTAACATGCATGACCGTGTAATCTGTGTAAAGAAAAAAACAAAACTACATTTAAAAAATGATGGTTGTGGCCTTTTCTAGTTATGATCTGTCAAAAAGTTTTATGTTTGACCAATAACGTGGCTTCGTAGTGATTTTTGCAAGTTGTAACGCATTGCAATTATAATTCTATAGAGGTAACTGATATGAGATTCAACTTTGTAATATATCTCAACAACTATAGTGTTCATATGTTAATTATAATATCAATAAAAATTGGCTCACAACCTAATCTCATAAACTCTCTCTCACAATTTTGACATGGCAAGTCACAATTAGTCAGCTTGCAATTGGTCAAGCGAAAAAATTCATCATAGACTAATTGCAAGCTAACACGTTCGGGTTGTGAGAAAAAATTTATAAAATTTGGTTGTAAGTGTAGTATTACTCTTATAATATAGAACATAATGAATTCATTCAATAATGACATTTCTTAAAACAATAATCGTTTTAATTAAAACGTATATGAAATATATAATTTATGGAATCAATACAACCATTTTGGTTGAGGAATGGGGATTAACTAATTAATTTACGAAAAATCATATTCTTTGTGAATAATTTTAACATTTTCTAAAAATACAAGGGTGCAAATGCAAAATAAAGACAATGTACGTACCTGAAAAGAAAAACCAATAAAAACTAACAACAAAGTCGTATAGATGGAAATTAAAAGAATATTGAGGGGCAATTCGGGACATAAAAGATATGGAGAGGGTAACGGAATCGTAAAAACTGATAATAATTTGCCTTAATAATTTTGAAAGTCGTGAATTTTCGCGGCTGAGCCAATACACACATACAAAAATAGGGAGGTTGGCCAATAGGCAATTGCCAAATATTCGCGCGATTGCTTTAGATTGTGCTGACCTATTGACTTTTTGCTTATCAATACCTTACCCACCACTTTTTTTGTTGCGTGTTCACACTCTTCCTATATGCTACCATTTTTTTACTTTAGATTTTTTTTTTTTTTTTTCTTTGGTAACAAAGGTTTTGGAGTCATTTTATGCGTACTTCTATTAATCTCCGAGGTCCATTAAAGACTTTATAACCCCAAGTGATTAGATAAGTCATAATATTATTGTGATAGGTAATTCTAAAACATTGTCACTTATTTGGTCTTAATGTTATTGTGATAAGTGGTTTCAAGGTTTGAATACTCCAAAGAATGGAGTAAACCTCTTTGACCGCTAAGTTAATCCCTTGGAGTTAATTTTTACAATTTTTTCTTCCTGACTTACTTGTAAAATTTAAACTATACGATATAATTTAGCAAGATACATTATATTTAAGAAATACAATATAGTTTTACTCTATTTTTGTGTCCAATTATAAACAATAGTTTATATAATATTTAGTTAAAATATCTCACACATATGTATATAGTATAGCCTCTATAAATTAATAACCTTAGGACCATATAAATTCTATTAATTAAAAGATGTATTAATTAATTGATAAATTAATTCATAGAGACGAACATACATTTAATCAACTAAAAGTTTATTATATTTTACCAATCTAATCAATTGAATATGAATTAATCCACTAAATATACATTAAAACATTAATTTAAATTCATTGTACTAATGTACTTAACTAAATAATATTCATTGTGTATAATAAATTCATTGAATTTATGTACTTAATTAAATAATATTCATTGTATATAATTTTATTAGTTTAATTAAATGTATTCAACAAAAAAATATTTGTGCTATTACAAAAAGTAACAATCGAGATATATTTTAACAAAATACCATAGTCAATTAATAAATTATTTATTCATAATATGAATGAGATCATAAAGTTATGTAAGGGTTTCCAAAAAAGTATTATTTTATTAATTTATCAAAATTATTAATTTAACTTATTAAACCAAGTCGAGATCGTAAGAAATTATTAATTTATCGAGTATTAATTGATAGAGATTATACTATATTATAGTATCTATAATAAATAATAAAAACTTTTTAAAAAATCAAAATAAAAAAGAAGAATTTCATTTGCAAATATTTTAACAGCCTGGCCTCTTGCAAGTATTAGGCTGGAAGAATAGCAATGCTTGCCTCTTGTCTGAAACGATATGAAATAAAAGTGTAGTTTACGCACGTTAAAATGGAGCGTGAGATGACTAAATTGGCCGCTGTGTCTGCCCGGCCTCGGACTGGTGGTGAGATAAAATGTGTAATTAAATTGTATTGGAAATGTGGAATTTTATTGGTCGTATTCGTAATTTACGTCGTGGCGGGAATGATTTTTGTGCTGCCATCTGGCTAATATGTTTTTTCCCTAGCCGTTACCCACTTTAAATTTGAATTAATTATTAATTACATACACAAACAAGGATATACGGATACTATACTTTACGGATTCGGCTAATATAAACTTGTGTATCGGATTTGCATTAGGCAATTTTTGGGCTTCAGATTAAAATTTAGACAATTTTGTACTAACCACCAAACCACTGATACTAATTTAAATGAACATCTAAATTCATTAATTAAACATTCAAATAATTACTTACTACTTAAATTTTTCATCCATGCTTTTTCAATTATATTAGCTGGTGACTTTTTTCTGTTTGTTTGGATAATCAGAATGTCTGAACTAGCTTATGTGTACCTCAATTAATCTTCAAGGTCCATTAAACACTTTATAAAAGCACAAATGATTAAGTAAGTCACAATGTGATCGGTGACTCTAAAGTTTGAACTCCTTGATCGCTAGACCACCCCTTGGGGTTTTAGTTGGCCACTATTCTTCTAAAAAAGCCTTCCATAATCTCGTGTCCTAATATTATAAGAATACTGTGTTTTTCTTACCCATTTTCTCCCGATGCAAAAACAAGTATTGGTATAAAACATCTCTTTTAATGCAATACAACGTCAAGAATGGTGTTTTATCTTTTCTGACATAAACTATAATCAAGATAATTTTTTTACCCTACTACGATGCAATTTTAGTTGGAAATCACTAATTTTTCTAATGTGTGAGAATACCCTTCGACACTATGCATATACAACAATTCTAATAAGATTCTTTTTTAATATTATGATTTAAAATTATAATCAAGATTCTTAATTACCCACTACAAAGGGATAAAAGATAAATGGTTTAGTTTGTTGTAATAGATTTCACTATCACAATTGAACTACTTTATAGAAATGTTTTTACATGAAAAAGAATTGTTGATAGAGTTGGTGCGCTTTGGGTAGTAATAAAATTTGTTAATTCTTATTTGAAAAGAAAATTCATTAAAGTTGAAATTATTCTATTGAAGTAATTATTCCAATCTATTACCTTTGTTAAGGAATTAGGATAATTAATATATTTTACATAATTTCTTAGTTTGGTTTTATTTTTTTCCTAATTTAGTAAAAGAAAACTTCCTCATTTGGATTGTTTTTTTTTAATTACCTATAAGGGATAGATTTAAGATTTGAATCTAAATTATGTTATTTTCCAAGTGCATTAAATGTGTAAGTTGTATTTAGTATTAAGCATTCAAAGTGTTAGGTTCAATAGC